GCATTCTCCAACATGAGGTTTTCACACCATGAGCCCTCTCCAAATTGATTTATAAGGTTAATGGGATTTGAAGAGAAGTAGCAGCCTCAGGCACCTGGCTTAAACGTGCAGTTGGAACTGGGAGAGAGCGAGGAAAGGGATGACATTGCCCATACAGAAATGGACTCTTCGCCTCACTTACATAACTGTAACCCCTCTGAACAACACCCTTATAATAAATTTTTAAAAATTCAAGGTGCAATTTGTTCACTTTTTGAACTAGGAAAGCTGATTCTGCAGGAAAGCTGGGGGTCCAATGCTGGGAGACAAATCCTAGGAGCTGCCAAGCAAGTTACAAAGGCTCAGTGAACTCATTGCTGTATGCTGACACAGAGGGTGAGGTTGTATGGACAAAGGAGAAAGCCAGATATCAACCCACACACAGGCAAAAATATAACACAGTTTACAGGCCACAAAACCTCCAGTCAACCAGGCACAGCAAGGCCATCCAGTGAACAGCACCTTATAACCAAGCAGACATCTTAGAAATAAAATTTCTGGACACCACGGTCAGGATCAATGCCAAAATAGATCGCAATCTGATTATGAAGAACTGAAGGATTCTACAGCTACTCTATTCATCAGGGCTTGGACATTGCCACAGTGTCGTTCAGTAGGCAAATGGATAGATTACCCGTGGTTTATCCAGACCATGCAATATTATTCAGCACTAAGAAGAAATGAGTTGTGAAACCATGGAAAGACATGGGAGAAACTGCGTATTGTTCAGTGGGAGAAGTCAGTCTGATAAGATTACATGGTACAGTATCCCAACTACGTGGAAACAGGGTGTGTTGGCTCTTGACTGTAATTCCAGCTACTTGGGAGGTAGAGATCCATAGGATCATGATTTAAGGCCAATCTGGGCAAAATGTTGTCAAGATTCTCAGCATGGTGACACATGCCTGTAATCCCAGCATGTGAAAGGTATAAGCAGGAGGATTGCTGTCCAGGGCCAGGAATCTGAAAAAAAAAAAAAAAAAAAAACTAAACACCCAAATATGTATGAGGGCACGGAGCAAATGATAGGGAGACAGCCCTCTAGCAAGTGCAAGGTCCCAAGTTCAAAACCCCAGTACTGAAGAAAAAAAAAAGAATGAAAAAAGATACCCACAGCTAAAGCCAGTGGTTGTTGGAGCCATTGGAGGAAAGGTTGAATAGAGGGTTTTTTAGGGCGGGGAAACCACTCATTATCATACTAAATTGACAAATGCTTACCATTATTCATTTGTCCAAACCCATAGGAAGTACACCAAGAATTAATCTAATGTAAACTACAAATTCATTTTTTAAGAGACAATGTACATGAGTTAGAAGAAAATAAGAGATGATCTCTTTATAAACTTGGTAAAAGGACTCTCTAATTATGATAAATTATAATTGCAATTATCACAATTATTATCCAGATTGTTTTTGGACATGTTCATTTCAAGGTGAAAAATATTTCTGCATGGAAAAACACCTTAAAGGCAGTAAAAAAAAAAAAAAGACAAGAAAACTGGGAAAGATTTCAGTTTATATTATGAAGCACTTACCTCTTTAATATAAAAAGTACTTCTAGGGCTGGGAAGGTAGCTCAGTGGTAGAGTGCTTGCCTGGCATGCCTGAGGCCCTGGGTTCGATTCCCAGCACCACATACGCAAAAAGAAAAAAGCTGGAAGTGGTGCTGTGGCTCAAGTGGTAGAGCGCTAGCCTTGAGCTGAAGAGCTGAGGGACAGCGCCCAGGCCCAGAGTTCAGGCCCCACAACTGGACCCAAAAAAAAAAAAAGTACTTCTAAAGATTTTTTAAAAATACCTTGATAGACTAGGGGGAAAAGGCTAAATCAGTTCAGAGAAAGAAAACAAATGCTTACTGACTATGTGGGAAATATTCAACTTCACTGAGTTGAGTGAATTATTAAATAAAATAAATTATTTCAGTTAAATGAAAATATAGTCTATAATTCCTCAAGACATCAAAATGAAAACACTCAACTATTACTAATGTCTGGAGAGACCATGGGTAGTATCTGCTATAATCATTGAGAAGTGGGACTGTATGTTGGTAGAGTTCATTTGAAGACAGTAATGTCAGAATAGCCCAGTCCTAGTCAGAGCTTGGCTTATCTTCCCCAGAGTGCTTTACACACACACGTGTGTGTGTCTGTGTGTGTGTGTGTGTGTGTGAGTCATACCACACCACCATCAGAGGGCCAATGAGGTAGAATCTGACTCAGACAGGCAAACATACAGACAATGTATCAACCATTAGCCAACGATTGTTGACTTTATCTACATAACAAAAACATGTCATACTTTTCCAGATTTACCTTCTTCTTTACCTACTCTGGGACATGAATAGACTCAGTGGTCTTTTCTGAGGCCATAGAGCTTTCAACATCTCCCCTAGCATAGCAAATAACTGAGAGGTAGTGCTCAGAATTATAACTGGATAGCTAGAGGAGACTGGGACTCTGTGAGATACAGACAGGGGCTAAGGATTCATGCACTATCAGTTGGTTTATTAAACATTAGCTCCAATTCCTTCTCTCTCACCTAGTTCTGCCATAGAAATTGAGAAACAATATTTTTTTTTTTTTGTCAGTCATGGGGCTAGAACTCTGGGCCTGGACGCTGTCCCTCAGCTCTTCAGCTCAAGGCGAGCGCTATACCACTTGAGCCACGGCACCACCTCCGGTTTTCTGAGTGGTTTATTGGAGATAAGAGCCTCACAGACTTTCCTGCCCCGGCTGTCTTTGACCGCAATCCTCAGCTCTCGGCCTCCTGAGTAGCTAGGATGACAGGCGTGAGTCACCAGTGCCAGATTGAAAAGGAATATGCTGTACCATTATTTTTCTTTGGCGGAATGATGGATAGTATTTTATTTTGAACTTTTTTTAAAAAACTATTCCTGAGAGCCCTCAGTGGTTCTCTTTCTTGTGTGGTCTCAGCCAGGTGGATATTTTCAATCATATGGGCATTTCATAGCAACAAGTTGAAGGCTTCCCTTCATTCTTTTGTGCACCAAAACCCTATAAATAGACTTGAAATCCCTGCTCTTGGAAGGTCGGTGTGTTCTACAAAAGTAACTGGTACTGGTGCTTTGCTAGAGGGAAGAACTCTTTGGTCATCTTTCCCTATTTATTTTATACACATTGGTATCTTCACGTCTCCTATAACTGCTTCTCATGCTATTCCACAGCCTGTTAGTTTATTCTGGTATTGGTTTTCTGAAATTTTATGAGAAAAGAAATGGCCAATACCTCTGCATGGAGTGAGATTTTCTACACAAATGTGCATCTTCCAGGCTACAGCAGTCTTATTGGAAGGCCATTAAATATTGGCATTAAATGTTGGCACCACCGCCAGACCCCTTCCTGCCTCCTGCCACCTTCTCCAGTTTGTCCCACTGCTGAATGGAGCTATGTCACTGCCTGAAAATGGCCTTGACCCACAGATGTCAAAACAACCTGGAAAAAACACCCTCAACTAATGACTGACACCAAGTTCCAAACCTCAGCACCTTGCCTTGAAGTAGGGCAGCCAGGTAGTGTGCTTCGTATTCCAGAGTTTTCTATCCAGCTTGCGTTAGACTAGACTTTAGTGACACCTCCTCCTCACCTGGCTTGCTTGGTTCTATGCTCCCCAGACTCTAGACAGACCACCGCCCACGAATCCCCAGTGGAACCTCTGCTTCCTGGTAGCCTGACCCAAGACACACTATTTAAATAAAGCATTATTGATTGCCCTAAGAACACTCAGAGATCCATGAGGCTCTGAGGCTCCTTTCCAACAGCCACTTGCGCACGATCCCTTCCCCCCCCCTCCCCCCCCCCCCCCCCCCCCCCCCCCGCCAAGATTCAAGGGCCTCCCTGTGGGGAACTTAAGTAACACAAGGAAAATGTAATAAATTGCTGTGCAGCAACAAGGCTGCCCCTGCCCATTTTGACCATCCTCCCCACCCCCCAACAAATGCCTTCAATTCATTATGAGAGTTAACGGTCAGAAAACAGGAAGAATAATTTGTATTTCCACACAGGAAGAGGGGCCTTTGTTGCATCTTTACACCAGGCAGCAGGAGAGTTAAGAAACTAATAGTCTATTTATTGTCTACCTAAATGCTAATGAAGTTTTTGCTCCTAAACCTTTTTTTTTTCCGCTTCTATTTTTCAATCGCTATTGAACTCCCTGTTCCCACTCATAAAATTGATAAAGTCACCCTCCATGAACTTTGAGAGGAGAGATAATGACAAAATGTCTGTCCTCTCCTCTCCTGCAAATTAAGGCAGTCGGCCTTGAATCTGGCTATTCTTCATGGGATTTTTTTTTTACAGTTTTCATTTTTGCTAGGTTTTTACTATATTCTTGAGCCTATAGTTGGGCTTCTCCACCCATCCTTTATTTTAATTTCCCAATCCTATTGATTCACTCCTCACAGATCTCTCTCTGGGCCCACAGCCACCCTAACCCACCCATTCCTGCTGGTGTCTCCCAAGTCCTCATGGTACAGCGTTCAAACTCTGTGAACTATTAGAAGGCGCCCACCCATTGCAAACCCAGCCTTCTCTTCTGCTCATCTAGTCCCTCCAGGTGCATTTATGTGTAGACAGCCAGGACATTGCCTTGCTCAAGAAGTTCAACAACTCTTCCTGGCCTGAGAGTAAGATCTGATATCTTCAAGGTAGAATTCAAGACTCTCTTTGATCTGAGAAATCAGTGGAAGTCTCAAAATAACAGCTGCCGGTCCAGGGTGACTCACAAAAGCCACACCATGAGCAAGGGGAGATGCTACAAGAGGCCTTTTCCATCCCCTACACAAATCCCATAACTTGGCAAACTTTCTGCCTCTGTCATCCAGTAAACACGGAGCTGGCATGGGCAGAGGGCTGGCCAGGTCACCTGCAGGGCGATTCTGCGATGCCTGGCTGCGGAATGAGAGGCCGTGAGTCTGAGGTGCTCTGACCGCTCTCTATGTCCCCTAGGCTTGGACACCAGGCAGGCGCAGGTCATCGTCCTGTCCTCGGGCACCAAGTGCATCAATGGCGAGCACATCAGTGACCAGGGGCTGGTGGTCAACGACTGTCATGCTGAGATCGTGGCCAGGAGAGCATTTCTCCACTTCTTGTATGCACAGCTGGAGCTGCACCTGAGGTAAGAGGCCCCTGGTGTGGGCTGGGTGGCTTCCCCCAGGGTTCACAGCTCCTTGATGAGGGTTTGTTGATATAGCTCAACAGTGTGAGCAACCAGAGATCACAAAAGGGGGGGGGGGGCCTGTGGCCAGACAAACATATACTCCCCTTCATCTTGGCAGATTTCCTGTACCAGGTGAACAGCTCTATGCCATAAAACATCTGTGTTTATTGGGGCATCCTCTGGTGCCACACCAGCAGCAAAATGTTGACATGCCAGGTGTCATCCTCATTATTAACATGATTGCCTCTGAGTTACCTACACATACCCAGGTCCCCACACACAGACACACACAGGAACACCCTGCCACAGCTCCTTCCGTTTGATCTTTGTTTTGTTTTTTTTTTTTTTTTTTGCTACATCCTAGGATTGCCAAACAAGAGCTTTTCTGTCAAGGAAAAAGCCAGTCACATTCATCCCTGTATCTTTAAGTGCAATGCATCCACTTTCAATCAAGGTTATTTCTCCACTTAGCTACTCAAGCTAAATGTTAGTGGGACCAGGACACAATCTGGTTCCCAGGGCCAGTCAGAGAGCCCAGAGGTCCTCGCTCCATAGAACAGCCAAATGGATAGAGCCCATTCACTGTGGGTATAGATGTGGTTCTTCCTGCTTCCTAGTTATTAGCCCCAGAGGAAGGAAGGAATGAGGGAAGGAGAGAAGAAAGAATCTCCTCTCTCTGTGTCTCTCTCTTTCTCTCTCTGTCTCTTTCTATATGTGTGTCTCTGTCTGTCTGTCTCTCCCCTCCTTCCCCACCAATTGCTTTGATTGAATTGGAAGTGTGTTCAGGTACGACACAAGGTTACTTGGGTCAGTGTTCTCCCTGCCTGGTAAATGTTTATGCCATCCCTGGAAAGGTGTCCGGTTGAAGTTAACATCTCTGCTCAGTTTTGACCAAGTCGTGTCTACTTCAAACTAACCCACACTTTGGCATTTCAACAGAAGGGGCAAACTCCTTGGTCCCTGGTCAATCTTGTTTTGGGAATTTCTCAGCCAAGGAAACTTCTTCCGGAGCTCAGAGTCTCTGCAAGATTGGCCAGAGCCATCTCTCGAATGTCAGCACCCCCAAATGGGTCAGCAGCTTACTTCCCATCCCCAGGTCTTGAGCACAGATGACAGATTGCATTTCTCCCGCCTCAGTCCCAGGCAGGAAGCAGCTCTCACAAAAACCACAACCACCTGGATGGTGTCCTCAACCTATGTCTTTGTGGGCAAGGTCCCCCTGTGCTTGACTCAGTTCCACCCCACACCCTAACACTACCAAATAGGCTCCTCTTCTGCCAGCCTCGTCCTCAACTAAGCCAATGATGGGCTGTGAGAGAGCTACTGTTCCCTGGCTCCGCCTCCACGTGCATTTTAATAAAAGCCTCACAATCATGCTCCTGCGGTGGAATCTCTGGATTTCTCGAGGCAGCCCGAGGTAGGCTGTCATCTGGGCTGACATCCCTCCCTGACATATTAAACACCAGCAGAAAGGCAGGCAGAGCTGAGTGTACACCATCTGAGACGCATTGCTGGGCTGAGCTATTTAGTCATGACAGGAGGAATGCTGTTGGTCCCTGCCAGAACGCATCCTTCCCCGAATCTTCCAGCTGCCCTTTCCTATCATGTCACGCGAGATTTCTCAAACCCACTAATAATGGGGTCTTGGGGGGGGCACTTTAGCCAGTGACTCATTCAGTCCCATTAGTGTGTGCAGAAGCCACACCGAGGGAAGAAAGGCCCACCCCATGCATGCCTAACCGACTCAAATAAAAGCAATACCTTAATACACTCAATTAATTTTTATCTGAGCCCCTGAGTGGCGCCCAGCAGCCTGATATACTGCCACATCGTTTCCAGGAGGCCTGCTGAGGGGCGGAAAGGAAGGGAACAGACTTGGAAACCTCCCACAATGCTGAGAAGGGTTCCTCTTCCATATCCAACTGCTGACCTGGAAATATTTCCAAGTATTTCGATTACCTCCTGTTTATGTCGTGGAAGGCAGTCGGTCCAGCATTTTGCCAGGAGCTGGCTGCATGCCTAGCTCTGTGCCTCCGGCTACAAGGGATTTAAACACAACTACACTCATCCCTGCCCAGCAGATGCCAGTGAGGGGAAGTGAGCATTGCATCTCCTCCAGCCTGGGTTCTGGAGATGTCTCTAAGCCACTCCAAGGGGGCGTGGCTGGAGGGGGGGGGGGAGGGAAGGAAGGGAAGAGGCCACTAAGGAAGTTTCCTGGGGAGGGAATGGCTGCCCTGCTGCCTGAGAGATCTCAGACTCAGCAACGCAGAATCCATCACCAGTGAGGCAGAACACATGGAAACAGCAAGGCTGGCACAAAGTAGACTGCTGAACTCTAAGGAACAATGCTCGCTGTGAGGGAGGGGAGGTCTTCCCACCCCAAGGAGGGCCACCCACTCACATGTGAGTTTTAAGGCTCTGCAGGAGGTTGTCTTAGAACAAAAGGCCCATAGCACGTTGATGAAGTTGCTGTTTCTTTGGCTTTTGGGGGTTTTGTTTTTATTTGTTTGTTTTCTTTTTGAATCTGCTCTGGTTAGAGGCAGAAGAAACACAGACTCTCACCGCTTCCGTTTCCACAGAGCTGTGTTAGTACTCAAACCCCAGCCTCTCCCCACTTTTAATCTTTTTCTTTTTAACACACACACACACACACACACGGGCACCCCGAGGCCCTGTCCAGTCCACAGTGTACCAGGAGACACCCCTATGAGGAGCTCCCACAAACCCTACAGGACTGTGGTATTATACACAGTAGATGCTGGCTTTGGAAAAGACAAACATAAAGTATGAATGCTCAAGGGGGCTGGGAAACAGAAGCAGGAAACAGAACAATCACCCAGGCCTCGCAGGAGGGTCCTCCAGCCGGGGTGGTAGGAAATGACCCCTCTCATCCTTCTGTCCCTAGTAAGCGTCGCGAGGACTCAGAGCGGTCAATATTTGTGCGTTTAAAGGAAGGCGGCTACAGACTGCGGGAGAACATCCTCTTCCATCTCTACGTGAGCACATCGCCCTGCGGAGACGCGAGACTCAACTCCCCCTACGAGATCACCACTGACCGTAAGAGAACGCATGTGCCTTTCATAACCAAACCAGCTCCAGTCGCTCCTGTAGCTAGACACTGTCCCAGGCTGGCTTGGCCCAGGTGAAGTAGCTGCAATTAACTAAACAATCATAGCTCCAAAATCTTAGCCTACAATGCCCAGATCATGAATAAAAAAAAAAAAAAGCAATTTGAGGTCTAAAATTAGCAGTTTAATTTGCTATAGTTTTAATAGGTCAGACAGTCCCTATTATCCCAAGCAGGGAAGAAAACAAGGCAAACAAGAATGATATAGGATGGATGCAAACTCCAGTGATCTCTGTCTGGGGAGAAAGAATTGCAGCTTGTATAACCAAGTCAGGGGCAAATAAGGCCCTGCCAAAGTACCACCCAGGTTAACCACAAGGTCCCATAGCCAGGAGTGGCCGGGCCACTTCGTCAACCAAGTAGGGACAGGAGCAGCCATGGATGCATGATGTCTCCTGATCACTCCCATCATCAGAGTCGTGACACTCTGCCCCAGGGTTGAAGGGCAGAAGTGAGTTTCTCCTTGGGTGCTATTGATGGCTTCAATGCTTCCTTGCTTTAATGCAGTGAAGAAGTCCTATTACTGCTTTTGCGTGCGCACGCGCACACACACACATGTATATGTATAAACAAACAACACACCTACACACTTCCATACATACTTCTGTGAATCTATTTCCACCATCTAGATTTAATCACAGTGACCATTTTGTGGGTTTATTCCAGCTAAATAAAACATTGAAATATTTTATGCAAAAACAAAACACAAATATCAGGGATATGATGATGAATCTGGTCCTAATAAAGACACTGAAACACTAGCAAGTCAGTTCTGTACTCAGAGGAAATCTCCAGTAGAAACTGTGGACAATGTCCAGTTATTAAAGATCAGCTCTGATCTGACTTTCCTAAAATGGAAGGCTGCTCTTGTGTTCTAATGATCAAAGGCAAGCGGGGTGGGGGGGAATGAACATTTATAGAGCACCTGCTGTGTTCCAGGCTTGTGATGAGGAATGTCACCAAAGATGAAGCATGTTGAAGCAGGGAAGGTAAATAGTGGTTTTCAACCCTCCCTGTGTTTAGCCTGTTTCTCCAGCTCTCAGCCTGGATGCCAGTCCAGACTCATTCTCTCTCCTTTTTGCCACCTCTCCTCCAGCCCCATCACTTTCCCCTTTGGACAGTGGCTGGTTAGGATTCTCCATAATGCAGTTTTAAAGGGCATTTTCACATCCTTTGGAAAGTAGATGAGAGAAAAACAAGTCAAACAGAAAGTCCGAAAGGGAACTCATTAGCTGTCAGGGAATTTTAAAGGCACTGCCTCTGGAAAGGAAAGAGGGCTGGGGTGGGCTTCTCCTCAGGAGGAGTAGACACCTCCCCTCCCCCATGGGTGTGGTCCCCACGTGAGGGCACTGTGAGATCACGCAGGGCGTCAGCTCTCTACTGAGAAGCTTCCAGAAGGAGGAGGAGAAGGCACCACATAACTGGTTGTTTCCCTGGACATGTCCGTCACACTGGATCTCCGTGGTCCCAAATTGCCCTGGAAAATGGTCACATTTTGATCCATTCCCCATCACCGAGTTAAGGGGGAGTCATCTTGCCATTTCCTCTGGGAAGGTTTGGCATCACCAAGACCCCACCGGAAGCCTGCAGTCTGAGGGAGGAAAAGGCTTGCGAGACATTTGGGCCTAACCCTCATTCCTCCAGCTTCCTTGGCCAGACTCCCCAGCAGGAGTGGAGAAAGAGCTGAGCGAGGGCTGCGGGGACTTCAGCCATGAACTCCTTCCCATCTCCCTTGGGGACGGTTCTGGCTCATTGGCTTCTCGTGTCTCTGTGCATCCGGCAGCCGCTGTGGCCTCTCCAGCCTTCAGTTCCAACTTGCAAGGTCGGCGGCTCCAAATAGCAAACAAATACATTCTCAGAGGCCCCCTGAGGGGTACTTGCAGACACAGATGTGTTTTATTTCATGGTTCTTTTTGAAAAGTGGCAGGTGCTAGTAGGAGTACAAATAAATAAATAAATAAAAGTATTCCCTTTGTATTTTTGTGGCAGAAAGAAGTGAGCTGCTACTGCCCAGGTTATTCCTCTAAATATGGCTGGTGCCTCCTGACTCTTCCTACCCAGAGATCTGAGAGGAGGCAGACCTCTAGCTGCTTGGTAAACTCATCAGCCAGAAGCCCTGCATTGCTTTCCCTTTATTTGCCCAATATGAGTAAGAAAACCCACATGGCTACTGCCCTCTGCTTGGCAGGAGCCTTCGAAAGACTTCCTCCTGCCCTGGTCCCTTCTGAGGAAGGCAGGGGCTCTCAGGAGCAGCTTCTGCAGCTTCTCTCCCTGAAAGGAACTCCTTGAGCCCAGCTTTGCAAGATGAGAGGCAGACAGCTCTCGGTGCTGCTCATTTCCGCGGCATTTCTCAATGCCATTCTGTAAGAAGAATTGGATGAGGAAACAGATAAGAGAAGGAAAGTGACCAGGCCTTTGTTTTGAGAGGCTCCCACCAGGGCTTACCAGATGGCAGAGTCAACAGTGAGCAGGTCCCTCTGGGAAGACATTTCTGGAGACACCAGGAAAACTCGAGGTCGGCAGCCAGCACCAACCCCCTTTCTTGAAGGCGAACCCGTAGGGACGCCAACCCCTTTGATCCAGTAGGTCTAAATAAAGCCCTAGGAGGCCTGTTCTCTGGACCTACTATGCCCCAAAGATCACTGTGCTAGCATAGTGCTCACAAATGGATTACAGGACATGGATGTGGCATAGACATGCTCAGTCCTTCCACCCTGATCTTCACTGGACACCTAAGGAGCCCATCCCAAACCAGAGGAGGCTCTGGACTGGGATTCGCCATCTTCCCAAGGTTCTCTCTGCTTCCTACCCACACTCTCAGCATATCGCCAGGCGTGGGACTCATCACTTGAGCTAAGAGAAGTTTGAAGCCTTAAAAAGGTAGCTTAGATCATTCCCCATCCTTTTAAATAATGACGAAACACGAGGCATGATTTTTTTTTAATTCTGAGATCATTAGGGCATAATTAGATGATCCATGAGAGAACTGAGCCTGACTGGAAATTTCTAGGAACATCTAGAACTCTCCACTAAATGCAAAAAGTGGCATTAGAGACCTCACAGCTCTTTTGAGAACTCAGAAAGTTTATGGGTTTCCTGAGCACTGTGAGTCAAAATCTACTGGGCAACCCCAACTCCCTGAGACCAAATCCAGGGACTCAGAGCCTATGCAACAGCATGCAGACTCTTGTGGTGCCATCCAATTGCACTTCCCTGGGAAGCTGTGGCCGAAGAAATTCCCTGCTTCACAGTTTTATTTCTGCCAAATCACTTCTGTGAATAAATCACAAAAGGTCTCCATCTCTGGAATCTTGCATGATGGCCAGGCTAATTGGGCCATGATGTTTTTACAGACATGTTGCCTGCAAGGCTAGTAATGAATGGGATTTGGTTATTTTGACACACTGAGAAGTTCGTCACATTCAAGTTTCTGCTAGACTCCCCGTGGCTAAGATTCTGTTCCTCTGGGGTGGTAAAGTGGGGTCCAGGCGTCTGAACATCAGTCATGTTTTGAGTCATGGGATGTGAACGTCTGCCCACACTGGCCATTCATTTCCTCATGGAAAGTCCAGCAGAGTATCTCCAAGGCCAAGTGATTTCCTTGCAGGAGCCCTCTCACCCCCAGCCAACAGTATACTAGACAGGCATCAAAGACTTTTCTTCTGGTACCTCACATCCATCCAAAACGTTGCTTTGGCGACAACCTCTGCAGCGTCTCTAATTTCACACCACCCGCACAAGTCTCTGCTCCTCTCAGGTAGCTCAAAACTGTTAGATCCTGTGACTTCCTCCTGGACCTCTAGCCAGACCAATGTTAGTCCAGGTGGTAACAGATGCCTTCAAGGAGTTTCTTCAAAACAAGATATATATGTTGTGTTCCTAGGTCAGAGTCAGGGTTCTGAAATATGAAGGTCCCCATCTTCCACCAAGGACCCACAGACCCCCTCCAGCCTCCCAGCGGATGGCAGATGACTCCCGAGTTAGATAAAACTGAGGGTATTCTGGAAAGATCCTGAATTTAAGAGAATAATATAAGGTCCAGGGCACTTCCGTGAGGTTGAGCTACTTCGATCTTCCTTCCAAATCACCAATGACCTCACCACAAATCCCTCTTTTATTGCATGGCTTTGAAATAACCTGGCAAATTCGGTTCTTATTATCATTTTCCAAGAATTTCACAAGTAAAATTCTCCAGCATATCTTCCACAAGAAGCCATGAAAAAGTAGCCGGGTTATATCATACACTGAGCTACAAATTCATGGTAAATGCCTAAATACATTCATTCTAAGGCAGTGCCACTCATCACCTAAATGAACAATTCAGGAAACAGAGCCAAAGCCCATAGCAGTGAGGGAATCTAAAATGTGGTCCCAGATATTCCTAGCTGCAGATTTCCTAGTGAGTTACAGGTGCAGTTAATATATGGAAATTTGCAGACAATTAATATATGGCAATTTGGCCTCACAATTCAACATCCTCATTAGCATCATCACCACAGAAAGCAAAGATTTACCCATATATCTGCATGGTAAACACAATAGATTTGATTATTACAATAAACTGTGGATTGCTTCAGATGTACTTTCTAAGACAGACTGGGTGGAGGCGATTGAAAAATGTAAAGTTTATTTAATGTTTCAAGATATTTTCTTCCTTTCTTATACCTTTGTGGGTTGCTTTTGTTTTCCAGTTTTGATTCCCTGCTCACTCTCGCTCTCTCCCTCTAAAAAGTATTTATCTAAAAAGTGCAATCTAAAAGTGCAATTTAGCTTCTTTTTGATAGCTAATTTATTAGTCTCTTAACAATATCTTCTTTTGATTCTCCCCTAACAATAAATTTTTGCTTGGACAGTTTTCTGAAGCCTATTGCTACTCTAACATACATTAATATCAATCCCAAAGGTAAAGGTTTAGGTTAATAGTCACAACAATGAAGAGTCTGACAATTTGGATGGTCAGAATGGGACTTGGATGTTTGACTGGACCTGGGTGTAATCATATAGGTATCATTTTAGTATTCTTCATTTCCGCCATCTCAGGTATACTGTAAACCCACTGCAGATCATTCAGGTTGAGTTTCCCAGCAGTTCCTCGCTGGGAAGCCATTTCATTTCGTTCCACTTGAAGAGGCTTCTTCAGGTTCCTCCTACCACTTGCAATTAGCCAAGAAGAAGCCAGAGAACATGAGTGCTTGTGAACTCACCAGCTCTTCAGCTCACCATGGAACTGAACGAGCTCCACAGGAAGCTGCTAGAGAAGGCAGCTGGGGCCTTCACTGCTCCGAAAACAAAACATAAAACCCTTGGGGAGTGTCTCACACACCTGGCTCTTGAGGCAAAATTAATCTTATCTAGAAACTTTGACTTGACTCCTAGAAACCGTTATTAATTCAAGTCAGACCTCCCATCCTTGGCCTAAACCAAGGCTCAGGACTTCAAAAGATTTGGCAATGTTACAGGCAACTTTGACACCTGGATGGTGGTACAGTAGAAGACAAGTGCACTGAAACACCAATGGAAAAACACAATGGATATTCTATTCTCCCAAGTGGGAGCGTAAAGTCCCAAACATCTCAGAAGCTGTGAGGGACTGGCTCCTCCGCCCCCTCAATATGGTTTTCCACAGGAAGTTGATATGTAAAAATATAAATAAGATAAACACCTGGGATACAAGAAAGTTCAGATTAACCCAAGTGTTTTTTGGTCCTAGGAATGATTCTGTGTGTAACTTACCAGCATCAGCATCATCACTGCCATGCTAACTAGCATCGTGATCACCACCACAGCCATCTTTGCCCTCATGATCATCATAACCATTGTCATTTCCATTCCATCAAACTCCATGGTCAACACCCACTCCTCCACACTACCACCTCCACAATCAGTGTCACAACCATCAAACCATCACCACCACCACCATCATCATCCAACTCCCACTACTAGTTAAAGCTGCAATTCCCAGTACCAGTGTGACTTAAGGAAGGTTGGGCATTTGTTTATCTATTGACCATCCAAGTTCCATTTCTCTCCTTGTTTTTAACTCCCAAGGATAGCTCACAGACAAGCCCACACTGAATCTCATCAAATATCTGGTTGGTTGTACCATAAAAAAGCTGTCTGAAGCACCTCAAAAGTTTACTATCTCCACTAAATGAAATAACCTTTCTTCCCCAAAGATAACCTACTATGAAAATTTACTGGAAAAAAATTCAGCTCTTTGAAACAATGAGAAGGTACACTAGAAATTACTCTTGACTCGGTAAGAAAAAAAAATCCCATAAAAACTCAAGTATGTAATAGCCATCTCTTCAGTGAGAGTAAATGAGGAGGAAACTAGATACACAGATTCCAAAACACTAAAACTTTTCCAAGAAAGTGTTAAATATGCACTCCTCTTATCACATATGTGTATATGTAGAAATTGCAGTGCTCTTTCATTAATAGTTTGTATTCAAACTAGTTAACCATTTCTCTAATGCCAGAATCCAGACTTAACACACCAGAATTTTTAAAGAAATGGAAAGAAAGCCAATGTAAAATTCCTCTTGGTCATGTTAGCTCTCTAAATAACTATGGAGTGAATGCTTCAGTGGATATGGGTGAATGTCTGATGAGAGGACTCTCGAAAGAAAGGGAAAGAACCTGGGACCCATAAAGGACATACAAAGGTCATGGAGGGCAAACAAGGGAGCAACCGTAGGCGCATCATTTTGGGGTAGGAAAAGTCCCTGCCTCCTATGGGCTCTGGATAATAAGAGACACTTAGGGAGAGCTTTGCTCTGAGCTATGCTAGCACCTTCGCACTTGCTGCCCCCTCTAACACTCAAACCATGCTGCTAGACACTAGTACTACCACCCTTATTTTAAGGGGAAATGGCCATATTGTAGTGATTTCAAGTTGCTCTCCCAGAGTTACACAGATAGGAAGAGATGGAAGCAGGATTAAACTCTAGGGCAGAGGGAGAGCCAACTTCTACCCACCAGTATTTCTATGTGGTCTGAAAGCTAGGCATGGTTTTATGATTTTTTAAATAGCTGACAGAAGTTTTTTTTTTTTAAAAAAAAAAAAGGAATAATAAAGTCATCCCTTGATACCCTTAGGAAATTGGTTCCAAGACCCCCTGCAGATACCAAAACGCAAGGATGCTAGAGTCCTTCATATAGAAAGGTGTTATATTTGCATGTTTACAACTTACATGCATCCTCCCATAACTTCTTTATTATGTCTAGAGCATCTGTAATAGTGACTACAATATAAATGCTCTGGGCTGGGATGTAGCTCAGTGGCAAAGCGCTTGCCTAGCAAGTGCAATGTCCTGGGTTCGATCCCCAGTACCAAAAAAGAAAAGACAAAAAAAAATACAGTTAAAAAAAAACCCAAACAATATAAATGCTCTGCAAATAGCTGCTGTGCTATAATGCTTAGGAAAAACTTATAAGAAAAAAAAAACTATGTATTCAGTATGGATATAATTTTTCCCAAATACTTTTGATCCTTGTTTTTTTTTTTGGGTCCGGTCGTGGGGCCTGAACTCTGGGCCTGGGCGCTGTCCCTCAGCTCTTCAGCTCAAGGCTAGCGCTCTACCACCTGAGCCACAGCACCACTTCTGGCTTTTTTTTTTCTTTTTGCTTATGTGGTGCTGAGGAATCAAACCCAGGGCCTCAGGCATGCAAGGCAAGCACTCTACCACTGAGCCACCTTCCCAGCCCCAGTTTTGATCCTTGTTTAGTCAAATCCATGAATGCAAAACAGATAAACATAAAGGGCTGACTATATTCACAACAGGTGAAAATTATATGATTGATTATACACCTTTAAGTTTCAATGCCCATAAGTGAAGGGTTAGGGGACTGAGCCAAGTTCATTAGTTGACATGTCACCCAAGACTCTTCTGGGCTTCCATGTGGTGACAAAAACAGTATGAACTGACAAGCATCTGAAATGTGCACCCTCTGTCCTTCAGAGGAGGCTGAGCTGACCGGGACTGAGCAGTGCTGCTCTGGGACCAGACCTTAACCATGTCACAGCTGAGATGAGGACATCCCCCTGACCCTTGCATTTTCTTCCAAGCCTGACCCTGTGCCCAGCCCCACCAAGAGCCTGCAACGTGGTCTCTGTCACAACCCCCTCCTCCTCTCCCACCTCCTGAACCCCTGGAGGCCTCCTGTCTCAGGATAAACACCCCCAGCACCTCTCACCACCCACCCCTTCTTTTCTAGTGAACAGTGCCAAACACATCGTCAGGAAGTTTCGCGGGCACCTGCGTACCAAGATTGAGTCTGGGGAGGGGACGGTGCCGGTGCGAGCCCCCAGTGCAGTGCAGACGTGGGACGGCATCCTGCTGGGAGAGCAGCTAGTCACCATGTCCTGCACGGACAAGATCGCCAGGTAAGAGCCACACCTCCGGGCCACCTCCCCACACTGCCAGTGGCCCACAGGGAGCCACCGAGAAGCAGGCTTTAGAACCATGCCCTGGTTCTGAGGAGCACAGCACCTGTCATCAAGGGCCTGGACTCCTAAACCAAGGGCCTCCATTTTCACTCCATGTGCTGGAGGCAGAAGCATCTTGAGAGAGCAAAATCCTCAAGTTGCAGCTGCAAACACACACACGACATCCTTGATGGTTTTCGGGACTGGCCACAGAACTCATTGAGAACAAAGGAGCTTTCCTCTCAGGCCACAAAAGCCTGACAATGGCCTGAGGACCAGCAGCCTTCAGCTAGGAGCCTTTTCTCCCCTAAACCCCTAAAAGATGCATTCTTTTAGGAGAAGTTTCAAAGCTCCATAGACTGGCCTCGGAGTTCAGGAGTAGAAAGCCTCTGTACAGGAGTGAAGGAGCAAAGCAGGAACTGATTAGCAGAGCAGGAGCCCTGGGCTCTCTCACAGAGGCTCTGATCACTGGAGAGAAGCCCTGAGCTGGCGTTAGCCATCCTGCTCCCCTAGGGCCCACTCCTGCTCCCTACCCTTCCCTCCAACCAAAGTGTACAAAATAGTCACCGGCCATACTCTGGAAACAGCCATGCAGCTTGAGTCTGTCTGGGGAAAAAAAAAAAAACATGTCCCAAAGCACCCATCACAATAACATTAGTGATAAGACAATGGTAGAAAACCTAGGTGATAGGCTGGGCATGGTAGAGCACACTTATGGTCCCAGCTACTCAGGAGGTGGAGGTAAGAGGATCTCAGTCTGAGCCAGCCGGGCAAAGTTCACACCCAACCCTATCTAAAATTCAAACTAAAAGCAAAAGGACTAGGGGATGTGGCTCGTGTGATTGGTCACTTGCCTAGCAAGCCTGAGACCGTCTTCAATCCCCTAGTACTGAAAAAAAAAAAAGGAAGGGAGGAAAGAATGAGGGAGGGAAGAGAAAGAGAAAGGGGAAGAGGAAGGGGAAGAGGAAGAGGAAGGTGACAGGGAGGGGAAGGGGAGAAGAAGGAAGGAAGGCAGGAAGGCAGGAAGGTAGGAAGGAAGGAAGGGAGAAAGGGAAAAAAGGAGGGAGGGAGGGAAGGGAGGTAGGGAGGAAGATGAGAGAGGGAGGGAGGGAAGGAAGGAGGGATAGAGAAAGAAGATCTTTTGCCAACTTTGACAAATTTATTGATCTATAGTCGATAAACCAAAGAAAAACAGCGCATTCTATGCAATGTGTCTCTAAGCAAAGCCACACACTGAAATTCTAATGGCATTGCTGCCCCTAAGATCACCTACATGGATGTGTTAGTAATTTCCCATGAGAATTTGAAATCACGATACTCAGGGTTCATGCTTTCTCTGCCTCGTGGGCCCCTAAAAGCCTCACAGAGGGGGCTGAGAAGCTCCATGGGAAATTACTGAGTGGCTACAGGAAAGAGTACCATTTACATCCCTGGCTTTGATTGCTCCTGGCTTGGCTGAGCAAGGAGATGGCTTAATGACAATAAATCAAAGCACCAAATTCTATATCAAAGAGAGTAGGCCCAGAGTCATCAAGTAGCTCATCTCGCAGAAGAAAATGTATTCCTCCTTTGTAATGTTTTCATCTATTCATGGAGTGAATAGATGGGGAGGGAGGGAAGGAGAACAGCAATTTTCACTTTAACAGAAAGTCTCTTGATACCCTAGGATAGCATTTGAGTTTCTAAATTAACTCTCTGACTCCCAGAAAAATGAAGTAAGTTAATGCTACAGAAATGAAATTTCGTTGTCTCTGGGATCTTAAACATCAATAGACAGTAAATTAAACAGAGGCTACAAACCCTGCATTATATTTGTTGTTGGCAGGTCTATCAATAGTAATGTTCTAAAGTCAGGCTGGACTCTTTTTTAATAAAATTCCCTTGAAAAATAAAAGTCTACATTGCATTCTCTCCAGGGATTTTCAAATAGTGTTCTACATGGAGGAAGATTCTAGACTGTTCTGTAAGGAGAAAGCAAATGTTTAGAGGAAGTGGTAATGCCCCTGGCTATGCTCAGTGAGAATGAGAACTTTCTCTAAATTTTCCCAGGAATTAATCCACACATACTGGTTGGGTTAAACCTCAGTAGTTCCATTCTATCTTTCCATTTGCTTACTTCCTTTTCCCCTACTCTAGTGGCTAGGTATATGGCCAGACCAAAGAGGTACAATGGAGAAGAAAGAGATGCCTGTGAGGGTTTAAAGATGTCACCTCAAGCTGGGTGCCAGTGGCTCACACCTGCAATCCTAGCTACTCCGGAGGCTGAGATCTGAGGATCGTGGTTCAAAGCCAGCCCAGAAAAGGAAAGACTCTTATCTCCAATAAACCACCAGAAAACAGGAAGTAGAGCTATGTCTCAAAGGGATAGAGCCCTAGTCTTGAACAGAAGAGCTCAGGGACAATACCAAGGCCCTGAGTTCAAGCCCCATAGTTGACAAAAATAATAAATCAAAAATAAAAGATGTCATCTCATTCCTTGGCTCTCTTCCCTCAAAGCTCACCTCCCCATCTTCCTGTTTCTGTGCTTTGCTTTCTTTTCTGCCTTTTTATTCTTTGGCTTTTTCTTATTCTCTGTCACTACTCCTCCCTCTTTCTCTCCATCTCTCCCTCTCTGCCCCCATATCTCTCTCTCTCTCTCTCTCTTTCTCACACACACACACACACACACATGTACACACTCTCCTTCCCTCCTTCCTTCTCTCTTCTCTCTTCTTTATCTTCCTCCTTGATTGTGTATCTAACCTCTATTCCACTCACATACTCTAGTGAGTTTCTGAGGCCCACTGCTAACTAGCCTCCTCCCCCACTTTAATTACCAACTGTGCCCTTACTCCTGGCCCAACTGCATCAGCATCCTCTTAGAGTACCCCCCCCCCCCACACACACACACACCTTTCTCCCTGCCTCCTGCACTGAAATCACAGATATGCTTTGCCTGGTGCTATTTGCTTCTGCATCTGACCTTCAAGGGGTCATTGGTGTCACTTGATTTGCATGGTGACTGTCACAGTGAGATGCACATGATATCCTTTGATAAACAGTAGCTCGTTGGTAATGGTGATGAGAACAGGACAACAGTGACCATGACAATGACAGAAATAATGCACCAGCTCCAAACGGTCCTGTCTGGGTCAGGCAAAGGCAATTGGCATTGAAACACAACTGCTGGCATGACCGTTCTTGTGCCTCTGCCATCAGCAGACAAGGTAGGGAGGTGAACGCTGAAGCAGGAGCTATTTTAGAACAGAGGCATATTTGCCATTTTGGAATGGGAACATATGTTATGCTAATGATTCAAGACCATAAGCATCTGTAACATGCATGATTTGCACAAAGGCTTCACAAAGAGACCATCTGATAATGCATGCGTTCATCTGTTTTCTATCCTGTAGCAAAACAAAAATTCAACCTAAGGCTTAAATAATGTTCAGAATAAAGGACTTCTGTACACAAATCCTGATGAGACAGAACTCAGTGAATTGGTGATACCCAAGGCTCCTTGGAGACACCAAGACATAGGACTCTCCATTAGCAAACAGTGGGGGACACACTGGCTTTGAAAACTGCACCCCGTGACATATTGCATCAGAATAGCAGCATGCTATATGCATATACACTGAGGTCCTCCCGAGCTGATTATTGGAATTTGAAAGCCCAATGTTAAATACATTGACTACTAAAAGTTAAATTAAGCCGAGTGCTGGCAGCTCATGCTTGTAATCCTGGCTACTCAGGAGGCTGAGATCTGAGGATCATGGTTCAAAGCCAGCCTGGGCAGAAAAGTCTGTGAGACTCTTATCTCCAATTAACCAGGTAAATTACATTTACAGTTAAAGAAACTATATGACAGAGGGCTTCAAAACTCACTGCTTCCAGATTCTCTTTTTAGGGCTGATACTCTTGCAATTGCTTGTGCCTATATGTATTCTGAACAGGGGCAGACCACAAAGTGGGGGTTGCTGCTCAGTCCTCGTTATCAACCCCCAGATGCATGCTCAGTGGCTTGATGCTGGCCACCCCCAAATTGGCCACAATAATAATATTTACACCATGGGAATCAGCAAAAGCTACCATGCAAGCTTTCTGTTTGTTTTTAGTCCATTGTCACCAGCATACCAGAGACTTGAGCACGTGTACAGAGTCTCACTTAAATAACATATGTGAGATTCACTGTCATCTATCCTTGGGAGGTCCTGATTCCTCCTTTGAATTTATCCCTCCCTCCAATCTCTAATCTCCATGTGGACCAGTGAGTGCCCACATATAATAAGCACCATGAGCATTAATGGGAGAAATGTGGATGGATGGGAGAGGAAGGGAGCATGAGAGACTAAGGAATCACACAGGCAATGACATCATTTAGCCCCATCTCAGCCTGAGCCTGCACCACCTGGCAAACTGAAGGAGAGTTCGTTACAGGAGGAAACCCTCGCCTAGGGCTGCCAAGCCCTAACAGGCATGCTTGTCTGGCTGACTACTCTTACTTCAGGAGCCCTCTGATTATCACTTAGTGATCGAGTACTATTGAGATTCCTGCTAGAAAGGCATTCTAGTCTCTATGGGGAGGTCCAAGGGACAGGAGGGGCTGGTTCTGCTCATCCAATAGTACATGTTAGACACCCGCTACGTGGTACATAGTGGTGTACAGAGGCCCCATGGTCAGTAAGTCTTCACTGGCTGGGTAAACAAATGAAATTTACCCTTTTATAAGAATAGTCAACCTTATGAGTTTGATGGAAAAATTAAAATTTTACAGTTTGTAATCTTTCTGCCAAGGCTAAAAAGTTTTTTGTGCTGTGTTTTTGGGAACTGTGTTAATAATCAATGAAATCCATTGATTTTTCTAAGAAAATAAGAATCTTATCCCAAGTGATATGTGGAACCTGGTCATAGATATTTCGTGATTTAGGTTTCTATATTAAAAGATTTAGTTCTGTTTTTGAGCAACATGAAAAAAT